GCAGTGAGCCAAGATTGCAGCACGGGACTCCAGCCTGGACGACAGAACAAAACTACATCTCAAGAAAAAAGAGAAAAAAAAAAAGGCCCATGGTAAGCTCATGATAGTGAACAACAGTAAAACAAAACCAAAACCCCTCAGAATCTAAATCAGGAAATGGTCACCCCTTTTAAATGAGCTCTTCTGAGTCTATTTGCACAAACGAGCCCAGCGACGCCTCAAATCAGTAAAATTCCAGCCTGTGTCCATTTCATTTTGCCTGACCCAACACATGGAGGTTCGGGGGTTGGGTTTGTGCCACAAAGCACTTCCTCTGCCCACTGAAAAGGCAGAGTTCAGAAAGGACAGGAAGAGAGGGCTATCTTCTTTCTCTGATACCTTCACAGGAGGACGCTGGGGAAACTGGGATGAGAAACTGTAAAGAAATGAGGTGACTTTTAACAAGTATGTTGGAGTTTGTGTACTGAAATTATCACTGAACTTCAAAAGGCCAACAGGCAAAACATTCCCGAATTCCTCTTTGGAAACTTCTTCCAGAACTCAGTTGTTTTTGACCAAATGTGATGTACTACTTCACTTAATCCCCAGTCTTGGTACCAACTGATGTCTAATTTCCAAAAATCAAACCCATCTTAAAGGTACCAATAACTGCCTCGTGTTAAAATAACTTAGGGAAAAGCCATTATACCAAGATGGATCCAACACCCAGTTCCATATTAAACTAAACGAAACTTAAGTTCAGCTAATCCTAAATGGCCAACTGAACATTAGTTACACAATCAGATACTTGCCACTGGGATAACCTAAATAAGACAACTGCTTAAACTTTAACCAACCAACTTCTCTCCTGTGCCTCCTCACACACCCTCTAAAAGCCTCCCTTCACACCCTTTCTCCGGAGCCCGAACCACCTCGGTTTTGGTGCGGCTTGATTCACGAATGGCTGTCTGCTCAAATAAACTTAAATGTGCTTTATCCTTTAACATTAGTAATAAAGATATTCAGAAAACTTGCTACAGATCCTTAAAGCTTGTTTCCAAAGAGGCATTTAGTCCATGTTTCAGCACAGTTAACTTCAGTGGGAAAGAATGCACGGCAAAGCAACATTTGCATTTACAAGCTCAGGTACTTTCCTTCAAATACAAAACTGCCCACCCAGAATTTGATACCGTTTTAAGCAGAACTATGACACGGTGTTCAAGAAGTCAACAAAACCCCAGAGGGTAAAGATGAAAGAATTCCAATCTGCCCTCATTTCTTCACATTTTATACTAGGATTCAGCTTCTCTAGTCTAATTCTTTACTCAGTAGTAACAGCAGCTGCAGTTAATGAGTATTCATAAAGGACTCCACACCAGAAGAAACACTTATTCTTCCTTGTAGGTGGGTCCTAACATTATGCTTCTTTTATAGATGAAAAGGGAAATTGAGGAAATGACTTGTCCAAAGCCACACAGTGGCAAAACTGGGGTTCAAACCAGAGTTCGACCACAAAAGCTGCGCCTGTAACCCCTGGGCCACACTGCAGTGGTCAAGAGGACAACCCCAGCAAATGGAAAGGGACCAGCTGTACCTAGTACGTGCAGAAACTGGGTCAATACTTCGCCATTAGAGAAGAAAAAGGAGAAAATCAGGATTTGCTTTTATCAATATTCAAACAGAGAAAGGTGGTAAACAATGAAAGTCAGCTAAAATAATTAAGAAATGCCTATTTCATGCTAATTTCCCTTAGGGGCTGCAGCTCTTTTCATTTATTTTCTTGGAGACAGGGTCTTTCTCTGTTGCCCAGGCTGGAGTCCGGAGGCACAATCACGGCTCACTGCAGCCTCAACCTCCTGGGCTCAGGCAATTTCCCCACCTCAGCCTTCCCAGTGGCTGGGACTACAGGTGCATGCTACCACGCCTAGGTAATTTAAAAAATTATTTGTAAAGACAGGGTCTCATTATGTTGCCCAGGCTGTTCTCAAGTGATCCTCCCACTTAAGCCTCCCAAAGTGCTGAGATTCTCACCCCTTAATTTTCAAGAAAAGCTTTAGATGGTCCCCATTCTGTATTTTAGGGGGTGCTCTCCAATCTGGAGGTGACATTGGCAAAAGCTGGCCTCATATTTCTTCTCTCGCGCTTCAGCAGGCTACGAATTCCTTTTTTTTTTGAGATGGAGTTTTGCTCTTGTTGCCCAGGCTGTAGTCAGTGGTGTGATCTCGGCTTACTGCAACCTCCACCTCCCGGGTTCAAGCGATTCTTCCTGAGTTGCTGTGATTACAGGCGCCCGCCACTACATCTGGCTAATTTTTTGTATTTTTAGTAGAGACGGCGCTTCACCATGGTGGCCATGCTGGCTTTTGAACTCCTGGCCTCAAGCAATCCACCTGTCTCGGCCTCCCAAAGTGCTAGGATTACAGGCATGAGCCACCGCGCCTGGCTCCCTTCTCTTAATAAGACCACATACCAATCTATAGGTTTTGCCCCTAATAAAGGAAATCAGTTACTGATTTACACCAACAGATGGCAATGTTGCTCATTCCGTAGAATTATGAACTGAGACTCCTTCAATTTGGTTTCCTTTATCATATCAGCTAAATGCTAACTGAAGCGGCAGGGAGACTCAGCACTGGCAATAACTCTGTTCCCCAGATGACATCCCAAGTTTCTTCCCAGCACCTCCCGAGATGTGCTTCTTCACTCCACTGTTCAGCACTCCCCAGAGCACACATCTGGGACTCGATCAGTGTTCATGGGATGACCACCGGGATCCTTTTCACAGTAAGTGCCGAAGTGTTTCCTGTCTGAAAGACTAAAATGATCTATACGAAGGTAATTCTCCAAAGCCTCTACAGCATGCATGAATTACTCCTAGAACCAGGAAAACCTACCAGCCACTATTAAAACAAAAAACAAAAAACAAAATTAAAAAAACCCTCCCAATGGCTGCATCTAGCCCCCTGTGTACAGCAGGTGCTTACTGCAGTATTGCCTCTCCTCCCAGTCTCCTCAGCTGTCTTTACTACTTTACCTCCAACTATTTTTCCATCACCTCCTTCCCCTCCACTGTCTCACCTACCAGGGCATAAAATAGGCTTTTCACTTCCTAGTGAAAATAAGGATGGCAATGCTTACACTTTGTCTGAAAGGGGAAAAGTACACCTACTGTGTGCCAGACCCTTTTGTATGTCATCTCATTTCATTTAGTCTGCAAAGCAAACTCAGGAGGTGGTAATTATCCTCATTTTACTGTTGAGGAAACCAAGGCTCAGTGATCAAGCAACATTCCTTTAGGTTACCACTGTTTTCCCAGTGGCGATTTGAAGTGTGGACTCAAGTTTTCTGATTCTACTTTAGCAGAATGTGCCATTTAAAAGTTAGGAAAATCCCAGCACTTTGGGAGGCCAAGGCAGGCAGATCACCTGAGGTCAGGAGTTCCAGACCAGTCTGGCCAACATGGTGAAACCCTGTCTCTACTAAAAATACAAAAAGTAGCCGGACAGGGTGGCGGGCACCTGTAATTCCAGCTACTCGGGAGGCTGAGGCAGAGAGAATCTCTTGAACTTGGGAGGTGGAGGTTGCAGTGAGCCAAGATCTCACCACTGCACTCTAGCCTGGGCAACAAGAGCAAAACTCTGTCTCACATACACACAAAAAAAGTTAGGAAGAACATTTGCCTTTGAAATACTGTTTATGAAAATATAAAGACTAAAAATTTTAAATGACAGAAACTTTTCACTTAAAAGAGATCATACTTGCAATAAAAATATTGCCTCCTAGTTTAACCATTTTACAAATATGATTTTTACATCATGTAAAAAGCATCCCTATATTTCACAAAATTAGAGAGACTCAAATTTTCCAGTTTTAAGATCAACTTTAGAAATGGGCCTCGGTTATAGTGTTAGGGGAGTTAATATTCATGGAATGATTATTCAAGTTTGTAATGAGATTTTAAAAATTCAGTTCAGTTAGTAAAATTGTACATGGGAGGTGGGTGGTGGGAGGAGAGAAAATTTCTTTCTTTTTAATCCAAGTGCTTCTCCACAAGGGTGAAAATAAGAACCACATTCAAGTTAATAGAATTTTTT